GGGCTGAGGACGCGGCTGTGGGCCGCACGGCTCCCTCCCCGTGAGGCCGGTTCCTGCCAGCCCCCTCCACGTGGAGCAGTCAGGGACTCAGAATCCACGCGGCCCCCCAGCTCCGCTGCAGCCTGGAGCACCAGAGCCGGAAGGGGGCTGAGGCCTCCAGACCAGGCTCCCACTGGACAGATGGAGAAACTGAGGCCTGAGGACAGCTGGGCCCTGCCCAAAGGCGTTCCACCAAGTTGGGGCTGAACCTGAAAGCCAGTCATGGGAAGTTGGCCCAGACAAAAGGGCGACACACCCTTGGTGCCCATGTCCTCGGCTGAGGCTGCACCTGCCAGTGGGGCCGCCCGGCACTGCCCCCACAGGACCTGGTGTGGGGCCCTCTCCCTGAGCCTCCAGACCCCATGGCAATCGTAACCCCTCATCTGGTCATCTGGGGGTGAAGGCAGCGGAGATGACGGTTGTGGGGTGCTCTGTGATGTAAGGGGGGGTCACACAGCTGCAGTAACAGGAAATGGCGACCCCGGGCCCCGGGCGGAGGGTGTGAGGCCTCCTCACAGCTTGAAAGGAGGCTTCAGCCAGCAGCGTGGCAGGGTCTCCAGCCCTCCCTGCTCTGGGGAGGTGGTGGATCTGCTTCGTAACACGCCCAGTGGCTGGACTTTGTGGGAAGGAACGTGGGACCCTGGCCTCCTCATCCTCGCCACTGAGCCCGCCCCCTCCCAGCCTGGGCAGGTGGCCAGAGGCTCCTTGGGCCCAGCCCGGCCAAGTGTCACCTTGTCAAGAGCCTGCCTCCCTGCCCGCAGGCCGGCTGGGCCTGGACCTGTCTCGGGAGCATTTCCTTTGCCGGTAATCCCTGGGCCCGCCCTCGGCGCCTGCCGCCCCTGCCCAGCTCTGCAGGGCCCTGCCCTCGGTCCTGTGGCCCTGGGCGTTGGCTGCGCCTGGTGGGGTCCTACTTGTGACCCTGGGTCTGTCGGGAGCCAGTCTCGGGGCAACGCCAGGAGCCAGCCCTGAGCCCCAGCAGTGCACTGTGTAACCTTGGGCAGAGACACTCAGTCTTTCTGGGTCTTAGTCATCATATCTGAAAAATGGGAATATTGTCATTTATTTTGCAGGGAGGCCGTGTGGTGGGCAGGGCGCTCAGTGATGAACTCCTTTCCTGTCTTGTCTTCAGATGGGGGCAGCTGCGGCCCCTCCCATGGAAGCCCAGCTCTGGTCTGAGTGCCGAGAGCCTTCCCTTCCCTCTCTGAGCTACGGTCTAGCTGGGGACCCCTTACATCTCCCCCTCCAGGCAGCGCCGCAGCCTGAACCCCGAGCCTCCACAGTGCGTTCTGGGAGCAGGTGCAGTACTGCCTGGTTTCCAAGGAGGCGGAGGATGTCTGCCAGCACCCGCCTTAACATGCGTGAGGTTCCGGCCGTCCCCAGGCGCCCCCACCTGCCGGCCCAGCTTAGCCCTGGCTCCTTCAGGGAGGGAACATGGAACGAGGACCCGTATTACAAATAGGAAACAGGCCTTGAGAAGGCCTGTCCCTCTCACGCCAGGGCCCAGGGCAGGCCACATCTGGGATGAGGCTGGGTCCTGAGGGTGCCCAGAGCCGGTGAGAGCCCGGCTGGGCCTCGAGGCTCACAGCTTAGGACAGGACTGGGGCTGTGAGATGCCTGGTGATCTGAAAAGCTTGTTGGCTTTGTGCAGCCAAACTGGAAAAACCAGCAGCCACTTGGGCGAATGCTGGACCCATTTCTGATGAACAAAGAAGCACCAGGCAGGGTGTCTGTGGGAAGGTGCTGGGTGAGCATGTGCACATTGTGGTGCCCGAGCCTCCTCCTCTCCCGTCCTGCCTTCCCTGGCCCTGGGCTGGCTCTGCAGTGGACTCAGCACCCTGCTTCTCCGCCTAGAGGGTCTGCTTGGCAATCTCCGGAGATGTTTTTAATGGCCGTGATTGGGAGGGTAGTCCCGGCACCTGGTGGGTGGTAGACAGGGATGCTGTTAAACAGCCTGTGACACACAAGACCTCCCAACAGAGAGCCACCTGGCCCAGGATGTCAGCAGGGCCGAGCGGCCTGGCCCAGGGGAGGAGCCGGGAGCCCCCAGCCCTGCCCTTCCCTTCCTGTCCCAGTGGCATGACAGCCTGGGGGAGGCCAGGGTGAGTGCTGGTCCCCCTGCCCCATTACAGAGAGTGACACAGGCCCTTGGGAAGAGAGCAGAGGCTGGCTGGGTGCCCAGCCTGTGGGACACGGTCTCTCTGTCCCTGTGTTCTGTCCACACTCCTGGCCTGGCCTTGCTGTCACCAGTCAGGCCTGGTCAGGATGCGTCCTCCTCCAGCCCAGAAGGTGCCAGCAGGCCCCTAGAGGGAACGGGTGGACGGGTGGAAGGTGGTCATCCTCAGTCCCTGGGGCTGGAGCCACCCACTGGGAGGCCCAGGGCAGGTCACTCTGCTCCCCGAGCCCGCCTGACCATCACGCACAGCTGACACTCCTGGCTTCCCTGACGCAGCTGTTTCCTGGCCCTTTGTGTTGGCCCCCACCTGCCCACTGAGTGGGAGGGACCACACCCTGTGGCGCTCAGTGCGCGTCACAGCACACTGCAGGGCCACCCGTCCACGCCCCCTCCACGCTGGGCCAGGAGCGCCCCCCGGCGGATGAAGCCCTGCCCAGCCATCCTCCCCGGAGGCCCCTTCAGGGGCTGATCCCTGCCCCGGCCAAGTACGAGGAAACAGGCTCCAGCGGGTCTGGGGACTGGCCAGGGCACCCCACTTGTCCTCCACCCTGCCTGCTGCCTGCTCTGCTGGGGGCTTCCCAGGCTCAGAGACAATGCGGCTTTGTGGGATCCTCCACACCTCTGCTCCCCGGGCCCTGACTGCTGAGACGTTACCTCATCTGGGCCAGGCCCCACGGGGCGGGACCCACCCAGGAACAAACAGCTGGGGAGCTGCTGGGGTGGGGGAGCTGCCACAGGCCCCCGCCTGCTCCTGAGCCCCAGGGCGGATGGGCCTAGTGTTTGAGGCCAGGCCCCCAGCGTGCAATCAGCGAAGCGAAAGCTCAGAGAAGGCCAGAGACTTGCTTAGAGTCACACAGCACATCTGGTGCAGCTGGGGCCTGCCTCTCCCATGGACTGAGTCACTGAGATGTAGGTGGTGACCTTCGGAGCCCTTCATAGGACAGGCTTTGGGGTGGGTGCGGACAGATGCTGGTGAGACGGAAACAAGGTGCTGGCTGTGTTCCCTGGCTGAGAAGAGGCCTGTGGCCCCAGCTCTGAGCCAAGGAACCCACAGAAGCCACGAAGCTGGGCCGTGGTCAGGCGCAGGTGACAGGGGAAGGCCTCACACCGCCTGCAGGGTCTTTGTTCAGACTTCTGTTCCCCGAGCGTGCTCCGCGTTGGGTACAAAGTCACGGGCACTAATTGTCCTGGGCTGCAGCCAGCTTCCTGCTGAGCTGGCTGCGAGCTGGCTGTGTGCAGACAGGCAGCTGGGGAAGGGGGCAGGGGAGCCGGCCTGGGAAGCAGGCCCAGCAGGACGACTGCCCCCGCCATGGCCAGGTGGGCATCCACGGGGACCTGCCCCTCAGCCTCTGTGGACTCCGCCTTGGGGCTGTCCTGAGCAGAGGGGTCCGGCGCCCATCACGGCCTGGGGACCGAGGTGGGCTCCAGGGCTCTCCGTTCTCCCTGCTGCCCCTGCCCGGACTAGGCCCCACCCTCCTGCACAGAAGCCCCTCCCCGTCCTCCACCTTCCCGCTCCTTTCCCGAATCCTCCAGCTGGAGGCCAGAGCTGTCCTCCTCCAGCCCAGAAGGTGCCAGCAGGCCCCTAGAGGGAACGGGTGTCCTTGAGGGCTGCTCCACCTCGTGCTCCCCACTCTAAATGCTCCATGGCTCCCTTCTGTCCTGTCCCTGCTGGGCCCCAAGTGGCCTTAGGGTCTTTCATCGGCACCTGGCCAGGCTCGCTCTGCAGGGTCCGTCACCCACCCTCCTCCCCCGATGTCCTCGAACGTTCGGCTCAGTCAGGCTGCCACGCTTGCTGCCGGGCCTCTGTGGTCCCGAGTCTGGAATGCTGCGCCCTCTTCCTGCCCCACCACTCGCCCTACCTCGACTTTCACACAGCAGCCCAGACGGCAGCCCCGCCTGGGGGCCTCCCCTGCCCCCCACAGTGGGTCGTTACTTATCTGCTTCCCCCCTCCTCCAGGGTGGGGTCTTTGTCACTGTCACCTCTGTGTCTGCAGCTAGGGACCTCGGCAGGGGCCGAATTAACAACGGGGGCCAGTGAGCGGGCGAGGGCAACAGACGGGGATGTCCCAGGAGGTGGGAGGGCCCAGAGGCCTCGGAGGGAGTGAGACTCCTGTCTCCGGGGCCTGCGAGGGGTTTCTGTCCTGGGCAGGTGTCCGGTGCACTGGGACTTCTGTTAACACGGAATTCCTGGCCCTGGTCTTCCTGAGTTGCACCTGGGGCAGCCAGGAGCTTGCATGTCTAACAGACGGCCTGGGCAGGCTCCCATCCGTGAGCCCACGTCCGCTTCCCGCCCTGAGCCTCTACCTTGGGGTGCCCTCAGCCATCCCCTCGACTCCGGGTCGCAGCCAGGCCCGCCCCGCCCTCCTCGCGGTCTGCTGTGCCCACCGCCAGCTTTTCACACGGATCAAGGACGTCTCCTGGGGAATGTCCCTCAACTCCGTACGGGGGTGGGGGGGGCCGTGCAGCCAGAGTCCAGAGAAAGACCTCGGACACAAGGCCATGCTCAGCCTGCATCTGCTTAGGACATCCAGGAGACCCCCCTTCCCTCGGGCCTGCTCCCGAGCCGACGGTACAAGCCTAGCGAGGAGAGAGGTGTGGCCACTTCTGGAGCCACTCCCGGGACTGCGCAGTGGGCTGGCCCGCGGGAGCAGGAGAGTTTGTCGGGAGCCCTGCCTTCGGTGCGTGGTGTGCGGGGCTCAGGGAACAATAAGAGCCGTGTTGCACCCCCAGCCGTCAGCGGACCTTCCTCAGTGTGTCCTTCCCATCCCACGGTCCCCTGAGGCCCCCCTGAGCCCCGGACGGTGTGTCAGTGCCATGGCCATGTAATCCTGTCCCCTGTCCCCCAACACAGAATCTCAGGGTGCGCAGCAGCGGAGGAACCGAGTTCTTCACACGCTCAGCCACCAAGTTCAAGGGCGCCCTGGCCCAGAAGTTCATGTTCGTGGATGGAGACCGGGCCATCTGCGGCTCTTACAGGTGAGCATCTGGCTTTCTGGGGGCTGGAGGAGCGGCGGCTCCAGTTCCCAGCTGGTTTCTGCCCTTAATCCTGCCTTGTGATACCCCGGTTATTCCGGTTCATGGGCCCCAAAACTGCTGAGGTGTGAATGGGGTTGGGCACGCCTGCCTGTCTCCGGAAGCAGGCAGGGGCGGGCCTTTGTCCATGAGACTGTGGTTCCAGCCTCGAGGTGTCAGCAGCCCGAAGGCGGGGTGTGGGCCAGGCCCACAGGACGGTCACTCAGAGCCTCCCTCGCGGATGGGGCCGTTCAGGAGTCAGAGGGTCGGAGCCACCCACGGCCACGTGGGGGATGGGGGTGACAAAGACACCGATGTCGGCATAAGCGCGCCTGTGCTGGATGACACCAGGTGTCCAGGGCTGCACACCAGGTGGGGGGTGGGGCTCACTGGAGGGGCTTGCCTGGGGTCCCAGACTCCACTCTGACCCTGCTCACTTCTCAGTCCCTTCTGTGCCACAGTCTGGTGGAAACTGGCCATGGGTGCACGAGTGGGGCTCACTTGGAAGCCCACCGCAGGGCCCGGGGAGGACTCCCCAGTCCTGGGACCGGGGCCTCGCGTGCCTGACCTGGCTGCCCCGCCCCCTGTGTTGCAGCTTCACGTGGTCGGCCGCGAGGACAGACCGGAACGTGATCTCCGTGCTGTCCGGCCAGGTGGTGGAGATGTTCGACCGGCAGTTCCAGGAGCTGTACCTCATGTCGCACGGCGTCAGCCTCAAGGGCATCCCCATGGAGAAGGAGCCGGAGCCGGAACCGGTGCTGCTGCCCTCCACGGTCCCACTGCTGCCCTCGGGCACCGTGGCCAAGAAGCTCGTCAACCCTAAATATGCGCTGGTCAAGGCCAAGAGCGCTGACGAGATCGCCAAGGCTTCTTCCGAGAAACAGGGCGCCACAAGGTCCCCAGCGGGGCGGGGCCCAGCGCCAGCCGACCAGCCAGGGGACCTCCCCGAGCCACCCTCCTCCATCCACCCAGGGCTGCTCAACCTGGAGCGGGCCAACATGTTCGAGTACCTGCCCACCTGGGTGGAGCCGGACCCCGAGCCTGGCAGTGACATCCTGGGCTACATCAACATCATCGACCCCAACATCTGGAACCCGCAGCCCAGCCAGATGAACCGCATTAAGATCCGAGACACGGCCCAGGCGGGGGCCCAGCCGTGGAGGCAGAGCCAGGGTTGTGGCCCCACGCCCGTGCCCCGCGCCCCCGCGCCCAGCGCCCCCCAGGACGGGGTCCCAGCCGAGAACGGCCTCCACCAGGGGGACACCGAGCCACGGCCCCCTGTACCCAAGCCCCGGACGGTCCCCGTGGCAGACCTGCTTGCCCGGGAGGGCGGCGGTGTGGGCTGGGCCCTGGAGACACCAGAAGAGGAGGCGCCCCAGAATGGGACAGACCACGGGCCGCCCAGGACAGCGGGCCCAGGCCATGCCCCGCTCCCGCGGCCGCCGTCTGTGACCCAGGGTGACCCGGATGGCGGGGGCGCAGTGGTTCCCAACGGGCTGGACGGGGAGGAGGATGATGATGACTACGTGACCCTCAGTGACCAGGACAGCCTCTCAGGCAGCTCCGGCCGTGGCCCCGGCCCCCGGAGGCCCTCAGTGGCCTCTTCTGTGTCTGACGAGTATTTCGAGGTGATGGATCGGTCGGCCACTCTCCAGAGGCGCTACTCGGAGCAGGCGGCCAACGGGCCAGCCCAGCCACCCCGCCGACAGCTTAGTGCCCCTCACGTGACCCGTGGGACCTTTGGTGGACCCCTGGCTGGCTCATGGGCCCAGGGTCGGGAGAGAGAAGAGGTGGGCACTCTGAGGAGGATACCGGCCCCACGCTCCGCTGACAAGGAGGCACAGGTGGGTCAAGGTCCCTGTGCACCTGGGTGCTCCCAGCACCTCCCCCAGGCCTGAGCGCCCAAAGCTGTCACGTCCTGGGCTACTGCGTCCCCAGCGCAGATGACTCTCCTTGTTATAGACGGGGAAACTGATGGATGGGGGTGGGGTAGCAGCCACGCAGGGCCACACGCGGCAGGTCATTCATTACCCACTCGGGACCCTCAGCCCCACATCTCTTTAAGAGGCAACCTGAGCCAGCTACCAGAAGCCAAAAGGAAACACACTTAATGCACCCAGGGTTTCAGGTGTGCGGTGTTCGTGGGTGGTGTGCACCCTACTTTGTGGACGAGGAAATGGCGGCGGCACAGAGATGTTCCCTTACCCCCAGGTCACAGCAGTGGATCATCTTTGCCCGGACCTCATGCCAAGCCCGCTCTGTGTCGATCCCTTTGGCTGTGGTCCTGGGGACCACTCTCCACCCCTCTCCCCCAGGCGGGAAATAGCTCGCTTCCTCCCAGTGACCCTGCAGAGTGAGGCCAGAACTCTGGGCACCTGCAGCCCATCCTACCTGGGAACAGCACGCGGCTGACCATGCCCGGCATGACGATCAGGCCCATGGGCAGCATCTTGAGGTAGCTGGCCAGGATGGAGCCCCCCTTGGCGTGGTTCAGGTCCCGGGCGGACAGTGACCGCTGCACGATGACCTGGGGGCGCGAGAAGGGAGTGATTCCCGCCCCTCGGGCTTCCTCCCCGTGGTGCTCAGGGAGCGTGTGAGGGGATGCTGTCCCACTGGCCTAGACCCACCCAAGACGGACACAGCTGACCCTGACACCTGGCAGGCGGTGGCATCCCGTCCAGATGCAGAGCTCACCTCAGCCATCTGAGCATCTGGGGCCGCAGCTCTCTCTCTGGGGACTCTGTCTCCCCGTCTGTTGAGGAGGAAGATGTGGATCCCACCCAGCAGTTGTCAGGGCTGGAGGAGACCTGGGTGGGAGGGTCTCAGGGCCCCCCCCATCTCCTGCACCCTCACAGAGGCTGGCAGGCTCACTAGCACCAGCTGTGTTCTGTGCCACTGGCCGAGGTCGGGAGATCAGACCTGGGTTTGGGGAAGCGTGCATTTCAGTGGTGGAAAGGCGCCAGAAGCCCCCTGAGGGCTACTCCTCAGGTAACTTCAGGCAAATCCTAACCGGGCCTCAGTTTCCAGATCTGTGGAATGGGAGGAGAGCTGGGTGGTGGGAACTCATGGCATCAGATCTCTCCCAGATCTGGCATTAAGATTCTCTGATGTATTTTTTAAGTTTGACTTTAAACAGCTTTCCCGAGATATAATTCACATACAGTTTAGCCACATACACTATATGATTCAGTGATTTTTCGTATGTTCACACAGTTGTGCAATCTATAACTTTCAAATACAAGTATTTTTCTTCGGCTGCTCTGTAGTTTAAGTCACCTCCTGCAATTCAGAAGTAGGAATTCCTTGTGATTTTAACTCACTTTCCCAACATGCTAGGTTAATAGCTCCAGCATCTCCCTGTAAGCCACGGCTCTCGGTGGAGTGTTGATTATAGGGTGCCGGGTCTGGGCGAGCTCTAAAACAGACACTTCACAGGAAAACCAGGCAGGGATGGAGTGCCCGTCAAAGCTCTGGGGGTGCAGCTAATTGAATCCATTTGAGTATTCCCTGGTGTCCACCTGGAGAACCCACCCCCCATCACCAGCTGCCCGGCTCATCCTCCAGCACCTTTCCATCGACTGGAGAAAATAATCTGATTTTACGTCAAAGCCAAGGAAGGACCTCAGTGGGAAACAGTGGTCGGAAGCCTGTTCCTCATCAGAGGACCTCAGTTGTCTTCTCTACGTGATCTCTTCCCATCTTTCCCAGCTTCTTGTCTGGGTTAAGATAATAATGGAGCCAGGGGTCCGTGCCCGACCTCACGTCTAAGGACGGGGGCACAGTGGGGCACACGCAGACGCACGCCGCCGTGTGCGAGAGCAGAAGCAGGCTTTGTTTCGTGCTCCTTGTTTCTGTCGCTGAACTTGAAGTCCCTCTGTTTTCATGAAAGTGACTTTTGTAAAGGCTAAAAACTGTATGTCCGTGTTCAGTGTCTGTCTCAGAGGCTCTTCAGTGCCCATGTGTGTCGAGTCCTTAAGAGAGACTGTCGTGTGGCTGCAGACACCCTTCTAACTGTCTCGGAGAAGGTAACGTGAACATCGTGAATTCTCTCCTATATGGAACTCCTTGGATCAGAGATGAGTGTTCCTCAAAATTTAGGCTCGTGTGCAAGATCAAAACCATGACGAAGTTGTGCTCTGGAGACGTGCCCCCTGGCTCCTGCTGTATGCAGTCCCAAGCCCAGAGGTCATCTGAGAGACCGAGCAGCACGCGGCCCCTGGCCAGACCACGTGTGAAAACAGCTCCGCCCTACTGCCTGGCTGGGCAGCCGCCCCCCTTATCTACAGTCAGCAGCCCAGGAAGGCGGGCGGCTGTCGGAGCCCCGCAGGAAGTCAGATGTCTATCTCCAGTAACAACCCAGGAAGCCACACAGTAACTTCTGTAACAATCAGCCCCAGGTGGCCGGGACCTAACTGATACCTCGCAGCTTCTCTAACTTGTGTCCCTACTTTCGGCTTGGGACCAACCAGAGAGGCAAACGCCCCCCTGACCAGTCTCGCGGGGCGCCCTGTTTCGTCAGCCCGGCTCCCTCCTCCCGAGGCCAGGAGCCTGCAGTCAGGGCTCCCGGAGCCCGTCCTCTGTAAAGCTGCCCGCTTCTCCGCCTGCCTTCGAGTCTCTGCAGATGCGAGTGATGGGGGCCGACTCCCCTGCTGTAGCAAGCCCAGAGTAAAACTGCCTTTGCTTTTCTTAAAAGAAAAACTCACAGGATGCCAGGGCGCGCAGCATCGGGCACGCAGGACGGCCGGCGTCAGCCCTGCCTCTCCGCCAGCGGCAGTGGCCTGGGGCCGGGGCTTTCCTCATTCTGAGCCTCCTCGCCCCTCGCCCTGTCTAGACCGTGAGAGGCTGGAGGTCTTCTCTGTAGACCTCCCCCTCCGGAGTCCTGTGATCACACGAGCCTGGAGCCGCGCTCCTCACGGGAGAGGAGTGTCCCTAAAACCCTGCACGTCGTCCGTGACTTCAGTCCGGCCGGGGCCTCCCTGCAGGTCACGGTTTCTGCCTCCCAGCCTCTGTGCGTGCACCGCCTGCTTGCTCGGCCACGTAGCCTCCCTGAACCGCGGGTCCTCGCCTGCAAGATGGGATGTGACCACCGACCCGCAGGGCTGCTGCAAAGCCTGCGTGAGGCCACCGTGTGGACGGCCGAGCCTGAGCGTGCAGGCTGCGAGCCCCCAGAGTCGAGGCTTCCACTGGGGTGCACCTCAGTTCAGCACGGCTCAGCACCACCCCAGGAGCGTTTGGACCCTGGCCCCCCACTTCGGGGACGTCCCGAACTGGCCTGGGCATCCCTCTCGTCGGCTGTGAGATGAGACAAAAACCCCTGGGAACACGGAACACTGTGCCTGGCCTGTGGCCGGAGCCTGAAAAGTTGTGGCCGCTGTCAGGACTGACACAGCTGCTGCCAAAAAGAGTCTGAAACCGCAGTGGCGGCGGGTGACAAAAACTGCACCGGCGGAGCGGACAGCCCGGTACCCTCTGGTCTGTGCGCCTCCCCGTGGTTCAGACCGGGCAGCTGAGATCAGGGAGGGTGGGGCAACACCCGGATGGGAGCCCAGGCCAGCTCTCTGCCCCCTGGGCCTTCTGCCTCCTGTTTTCGTGGTTTTATTGGGTTCTGATTGTCACCTCCGCACTGTGGGTGAGCTGGCAGACAGTGAAAAGTGTAAAGAAAAGGAAAACCTCCTGTGGTCCCAGCACGCAGAGCCACCACCCTGTTCTGACCACACATTGGGGGGCTACCCTGGCCCACGCGCTGAGCAGAGTCCTGCCAAGCCCCCGGGACCCAGTGGGCCGGTCCCTGCCATGTGGGGGTTCTGGTGCAAGGCCCGGGCGTCCCCCAGGCAGGCCCAGCCTGAGCGGGAGGTGGACAGGGAGGTGAGGCTGAGCCTAGACGTGGGCCCCCAATACCAGGGGCACTCTGGACACCCTTGGGATCAGCAGTGTCCTGCCTCCACCTCCCCATGCAACCCTCATGCAGGAAGCAAGTCCCTTTCAGCCCTGACCTCCAGGCCAGGCTGTGTGGTGGCGCACTTGGCCTTCATGGGAAAATCTCCTGAATGCTGTTCCTCCCAGAGACACCAGTGCCCCGCCAGGCCATGCCGAGTGGGGTGGGAACAAGAGGCACCCTGGGGTGGAGGGGCTCCAGCTGGCCCCACAGGACAGCCCCGGCACCCACAGCACGCCCTCCACTGCCGGCCTTTCAACCAGCATCTCACCCACCAGGCTGGCCCTTAGGCCTCCCGGGGGCGCCGGAAGGATGCCTGCTGTGGGCCCAGCCTACACGGGCATCTCAGGGAGCCCTGTCACAGGCAGGGGAACTGTGGCCCAGCCCCCCAGCCTGGATGGTTTCCCAGGGTCACAGCCTTGGGAGGGTCTCCAGCAAGCATGTTCACTCAGGGGACACAGAGCGCCCCTCACCAGGCAGGCACTCTGCTCCGGCCTCAGTTCCAGCCTGTGGACAGGGCTGCCGGCCGGACCTGCCCTGCAGGCAGGGCTGCCCCGTTTACCCCACTTGGCCTGGCTGCCTCCCTTCGTGGGGGGGCCCTCGGGGCCGCGAGTCCACAGGCAGGAATGCTCGTGAGGCCTGTGCCCACTGAGGGTCTGCTGCTTCCTGAGGCCTCTTCCCAGCCGGTGCCGCCTGGAGCTGCCCAGGGCCTTGCAGGTGGGCAGGGCAGGGGCATCGTCTGCTTCTGCCCGGAGAGGCCACCAGGTACGCTCACAGCCTGGGAGGGACTAATCAGACTGGAGGAAGACCCAGTCCTCCGCACTCACCACAAACTGGCCCAGGTGGAGGCACTGGTGTCCCATCCCACTTACAGATGGCAGAGGCTGGGGCAGGGGAATCGGGGTCGGGGAGGCATGGGCCTTATCTCACCACAAAGTGTGGGATCGTTCCCATAGGGGCCCCAGGGAAACGAGGCACAGAGTCGCAAGACAGACTTGCCCAGGGCCACCAGGGCCAGGAGGCAGACCCAGATGTGCCGGCCGCAGCCCCCCCAGGAGAGTCCTATGGGAATGGGCAGAGCTGCCCCAGGACTTGGGTCTCATGCCCTCTGCTCTCTCTCCCCCAGGGTCAGCGGTTCCACCACTATGGAGTCTCTGCCTCGGGGACCAGGGATAAGGACGGCTTCCCACAGCCGCTGAAGACCCCAGGACCCCCGCGGTACCGCCCTGCCACCGACGGCACCCAGAGCTCCAGTAGGAAAGCAGGCCCGGCCGTGGCTTGGCCCGCAGCACTGGCAGGCCAAGGGTGGCC